TTAAACTCCTTATGTTTAATGGGCGTTCCGAGCCCCTTCGCGGGCTAAGGGGGTTCGGGACTGGGCGCTGCCCTTCCCTCACAGTCCTGCCGAGCTCCAGGCTGGGGGAGCTGAACCTGGCCTTGAAGGTTTAACGAGCATTAGGGATCCTGGGGTAGAGGCTGTTGTGTAAGCGCGTACAGCATTTCTCTCTTGTATTATTGAGCTTCTCAGGTCTCTGGCAGTTTAATTTGTGTAGCCAGTTTGGTTTTTGTAGCGCTCTTTTGGCCATCTCGGGTTGGGCTGTCCGCGGCGGGACATCCGAGCGCTCAGTGTGGGCACCGATGTGTCTCTGAGGCTGTAACACAAAATCAGCTCTTTATCTATTTATACTTCACGTATTCCTCTAGCTTTGTAGTGTGTAGGCATCACTGAAACTTCCCACGGCTACAGTGACAGTAAGACAAAAGCTTACAAAAGAGGGACAGTAGGTTGCTGTAAATGACCTTTTTCAGGATGGACAAACAAGCTCTAGCTTGGCATTGTATTCACTGTAATAATTGGCTTGTCAGATTAACTCTCAAATCATAATTAAGAACAGTTTGTAGTTTTTGAAGAATTCCCTTTGTGCATTTAGGTACTGCATTTTTTTCCTGCTCTAATCCCAGCTCCAGGAACAGAATATCTGTTGTCCCAACTGTTCGGGATTACATCTTCCAAAACGTAATAGTGGGTAACAAGCTGTTGGACCATAGAAGTGTAGCTATATATAGCTGCTTCGTTTACTATTGAAAGTCATGGAATATCTTACTAGCGTTACAGGATGACTGTTCTTGTCTGAATTTTTACAAAGGAATGCTCCTTAAGGGTGCCTGGAAATGATTCATGGTCAAGGAAAGTGCATGTCTGTGCATTCTTACCGGCGTTTGCCTATACAGCTCTTCTGGGAGAGGAGCAGGGAAGGTGAGGCATATTTGGCCATAAGTGGTGCAGATTAGGAGTTTGTAATTCTGGCTGAGGTGCTCAGGCTCCACTCTTTATCTTTCAAGTAGTGACATCAATCTCTTGGTGCAGCAGTAAGGTTGGAATCTGCGTTGTTGGGTGTGGCTTTTTGTTACATGCATTCTTGCAAGTGACATTTTAAAAGCTCTTTGACGACTCCTACGTCGTACTTAAAAGTTTTTGACTGGACACAGTTTTTGTGGGTTGCCTTCTCGATGGCACCTTGAAGCAGGTTTTTCTGTAGTTGTTGATATAAATAAGGCTCTGTTTGGAGTAAATGAGCACAAGTTCCGTGGGCAGTTTCTCCTCTGCTCCAGAAGCTTAGTGATAGGTATTGTTCGTTGTCTGATGCATTTAGTGATTTGGCTGCATGTTGGAGTTTGCAGTTACTCATCTCATACAGTGGTGGGATCAAAGGTATTTTATTGTAATGCTGAACTTCGTGCTTTACAATTTTTGGTTACTTCTGAGACAAACTTGACTTAATTTAAAATGAGCAGAGTGTATTTAGATAAGATGTGCTTCTCGTCAAATTAAAATGTCATCAATCTTGTGTTCTGTAAACCACCTCCAGCCTACGAAGTCAGCAAGTGCTGATAGCTTTTTGGCACATCAGTGGCTGGGGTGCTTGTGTTGGAACAACCTCGCAGCTCATCAGCTGCGTGTAGAAAGGCAGGCTGTCTGAAAGTGAGTTACAGGAAGCAGTGGTGTTCCTTTCTTTCACAAGGTAGAGTCAATAGCTCAGTTGTTGACTGAGCTGTGTATGTCAACATTTGGTGCTCTTCTGGTTGGCAGTGTAAGTGCTGCTGTGCTGTTACAGAAACCTTGTGCTTGTTGTGCTGTAGTTCCAGTGTTGATAATTAGATTATTGGGATTTCCCGAGACTTGGCAGTAGACAAATGCCTAGAATTGGTCAAGTAACTATGAAATCTCCTTTAGCTGCTTTTGTAAATTTACTCTCTGTCTTTAAGGTTTCATATATCAGTCTTGTGTGCTATCAGCATCTTCATGGTCACCTGTAGGAGCAGCAAGCTGTGACTACACAGTGGGTTATAACTTCCCCCCTCACCCCGTGGGCCTCTTACTTGTGGGAGGATGTGAATGTTCAGAGAGATTTGATATCTGTCTTACGACTGAGATGTTTAGAAAATTATCAGTGCTGTGAAGAAATAGAGATATGCTTGTTATACTTTGAAGTCTTGGTTCTAACTTTTACAAATTTCTTTCAAGTCTGAAAGTGGCAGATCAGACCTTGCCGACAGGTGACAGCCACTTGCTACCTACTGATTGCAATTCTCCAAGTTCATCTCACTTTGAAGAGTCTTGTGCTACTTGTTAAATTTTCGTTGACACTATAAAAAGTCATTTATTGTCTTGTGAAGCATCTTTCTACTGTGTAAAATTCTTAGATTAACTGTACTTTCCTGCATGTTGGTAATACTGCAGGATTTTTATTTCTTAATGAAGATAGGCTGTGGAAGCTGTCTAAAAGCAGTTCAGGTACCAGTTTATCAGGCAGAAAGCTGAGTGGACCTTACTCACCTTTCCACGTTTTTGGTGTGGTGTTTTGAGTTGTATTTGCAGGAGTGTTGAGCATTGAGTGCATTTCCTGTAGGTGCTCATGGTGCCTTTAAATACAGTTCTGTAAGAAAACAGCATCATGACTGTAGTCATAAAGAGTAGCACAGTGTAAATTTTGTGTGGAACACGTGCTTGAGTTTTGGGTGATTGTCAAAGAGTGTAGAAGGTCCAAAATACTTGACCAAGAAATGCATGGATGTGAAGGATCAGTTAAAAGTGGCCCTCCTTAGACCAGGGAGTACTGATCTGATTAGTAGTTTCTTAGTGTTTCATTTCTGTGAGTTAAATTTTGGGTAGATGTGATTAATGGCAAAGGA